AAGAATTTGTGTGTTGAATTTAGATATAAACATAATGGGTAATATGTACATGGAAAGGGAAGAACTCGTGGGTGCTACATGTGAAATGTTTTATGAAATGCATGGTAAATAATATCTATTCTTTCAAATATTTTCTGAGCATATTTTCGTAATTTCTCTAATTGATTAGTTGTTTTTTCTTCGAGAAAGGGTTTAATCATTTCTTTATTTTGATTAATCAGTACTATACATAAAATAGTTACATCTCACGAACGTATCAGTCTGCATTCTTAACCACCGATGACCGATCAGACCCTATAAATCGGAGGTAAATATGCATGCATGTTAGAGTTGATGAAATCAGGAAGCTACATGAACGTTGCGGGAGTTTTTTTTTTTTTTTGGTTGGAACGTTGCGGGAGTTACGTCACTTTTAACAGAGAAAATATTTTTTAACTTTTTTTATTTGAGTTTCCAAGGAAATATGGAATAAAAAAGTATTAATTATTGTAGGCAGATAATATATTTAGATTTTATATTGAGACTTTGACATTGGAAGGTGTGCCATAGGATGGGCTTGAAATCTCAATGATGTTAGTTCAATAACACATTCGGATTTAGCCGTTCGAGGAATCTCAAGCCAACACATCTATCGATTCAACGTATAGATTCAAATACTTAGCGAGATTAAGAATAAATTTCATTTACTTTGCTATTTCTTCCAAAGAAATTTTTTAAAATCTTATTAATATATATTCTTAATTCTGATACAAATTAGTTTGTTTTAGACAACTATCTTTTGGCATTGTTATATAATCGATTTATAGTTGCCTGTTCCTTTTTTGTTTGTCATAGTGGTTGCATGTTCAAGATAATATCATAATTGTTAGCTACTATATAATATGATAGTATATTCAAAAAGAAAAAAAGAAAATCGAAGATAGAAATTCAGCGACCAAAATTGGGGGCCATGAAGCAACCGGCTAATGGTGGACAAAAATAATCGGTTGGCAACTAACCAGAATTAAAGTCGACCAATGGGCTTCAAGTTTCAGCTTTATGATCATGTCCACAAAATAGCCAATTAGCACAAAGATTGGGCCTATTGAGTGATCATAAACCTTGTTCAATATTATATTTGGGGTTCAGATAAGTGTGCTAAACGTGAAACCCATTCGTCTAGCCGGTTGCCATGCCATATATAACTGCGGCATGTTTGAATCAATCAAGTGTCCTTCTTTGCCAACAAATACTTCTGAGCAGAATCTGAAAGTTCTAAGTTTTATCAAAAGAAATTTTTTTTATTCAAGAGCTTGAAAGAAAGAATTTGAGACTTACTTGCATGTCAAGAAAGTAAACACTTTAAGAAGCACGGTGACGTTAGTGAGTAGGTTTTGTCTGGCTCTTAGAACTTCTTCGGCCAGACAAGAATAATCTCTTTACTCGGGTAATTTTTTTGCTCGATGATTCTTTATTCTTCTTGAATCATTGGCCGGATTTTTCTGAGGTCGCTAAGCATTGATTTGTTGATACTTGAAGGCGTAGTTAAGTAACTATCCCCTTGAATTGAGCTCAAATTTTGCCATAGTTTATGTCTCCAATTCGACATAGCGAGATTAATCTAGACAGAGAACAATGAATCAGTAATGTAACAGTCATGAACATGTACGTTAACTCAAATCTTAGAATCATATGATTCATATAAGTTATGTAAACGTCAAAAAAGTTCTATATGTCACATAAACAGAAAAATGTCGGATTTTTGTATATAATTGCACAAAATCAGAATCCAAACTTGGGAAAAATAAGTAAAATATTTCGTAGAACACCTTATGCTCAATTTCAAAGGAAAGCCATCATCATCCAGGAAAAAAAAAATCGGATTGATATCGTAGAAACAACAAAGGGGACGTTAAAAAAAAAAAAAAACAACAAAGGGGCGCAACGTAAGCAAACTAAAACCATCTCCATCGCGGGATGACTCGGGTATTATAAGTGGGCCATATGCAAATTTTTGGATTTAAAATAAATAAATAAAGCTTAAATTGGATGATACGGTATCATCCCAGTGAACTTATAGAATCCGTATCATCAGAGTTTCATCGGCCAGCTGTCAGCATGTTATTCGTCAAAGTTGTGTGGAAAAATTTTCATCAGACATTTTTCTTTCCTGAAAAACTTTGTCGACCATTTTTCAATTCGTTAAGAGTTGAAGCAGATCAATTCGTTGCATTGTGAAACTCGGTTTGTCTTCACATCTTTCCTTGATCGATTCGTAGATCGCATTTCTGTTTTTAGTCTTATGGGTTTGATTCTGGTTTGGTTTTCAAATCCGGCAACAACAAAAGAACGAGCTTGAGAAGATTCACGATGAGAATCTGGAGATCGTGGCGTGCCAGCTATGTCAGACTAAGATAGAAGATTCAGTTCGAAAGAAGGTTACTGGACTGGATTGGAGCAAGAGACCTGGGAGCTCTGAGATTTTTTGTGATGTGGATGATTTGGGGGATCAAGACTCTTCTGAATTTAGCAAATTTGTTGTGGTTCATGGCGCAGGTTATTCCTTGTTCGGACATTGATTCGTCTCTGTTTAACTCTTATAATGAAGGATCAAAATGAAGCACATATTTGCTTAGTTCTTATAGATCAATGAGACTTTGAACACTAATGGGTTTCATTGACCTGCTTATGTTCTTGAGCTGTTATTTAGTATTAGTTTTCTTGGTGGGGGATTTATATATCTAATCTGCATTAGTAGGTTCCTTTGGGCACTTTCAGGCCAGAGATCAGGTGTTCATAAAGGAGGACTTGAGAAACTTATTGTCAAAGCTGGTTTTGTTGCGACTCTGCCAATGCTAATACTCTTACTTGAGCTAGTTTTGAGTTGTTCTGATAGTTCCTCTTTCCACTCCTTTGCAGGTCACAAATCTTAATCTTGAAATTGTAAGAGCACTTGGCCGAAGTACCTCTTATGTTTCTCTTTTTTTTATCCTCTGAAACTATATCTTGCTGAGAGGAAAATATGAATTTGGAAGCTTAATTTTATGGTTTCTTGCACAGGGCATTCCTACTATCGGCATGTCTCCATTTTCATGTGGTTGGTCAACCTCCAAAAGAGACGTAAGACCCAACTGAACTTCTTTTCTTTTTCCCCTTTACATATTTCCTGATCTGAAGCATGTTTTTTATCAAAATTTCTATATCTTGTATTTCTAAAAATCATGTCACTTTCCCCCTTTACACACTTAGCTATGATGTTGTTTATCCTTGTATTACATTTTCGTTTTATGGGTTTTATTTTGTTTGCTTACTAATGCCTTAGGAATTTCTCATTTTCAGGAAACAACTGCAAGTATCTTTTTAGCAGCACTTGCATCACAGAACTCAGAGCAACCTGCTTCCAGTGCTTCTAATGTTGTCTTGCCTTCTGAAGGCGGTTCTTTAGATGCAGCGGTTGCATCTCCATCAGCGGTTTCTCTCTTTAACTACAACAGCTATGGCTGGGTTGGACTTGATGGATGCAAGTGATGATGATGAAGTTGATAATAGCAAAGGCATTGGGTACCCTGCAATGTCTGCTGCAGTTGTTGCAGCTGTTAGGAGTACGTTACGACCTCCGGTTCTTAAGAAAGTGGAAGAGCAGCTTCAGAAAGAGAATCAGAGGTCGGATGAAGTTGCTTGAGCTTTTTATCATCGTCCTCCTTAAAAATGTTGTCCCGAAGTTCCTGATGGTGTTTGTGTTTTCTTAGTATAAGATTATCTCTTTTTTTAGACTGCTTTGTCTTTGTTTAAGAAAGAATTTGAAGACAGATGATGAAGCAGAAAATATTTAAGATTTTGAGGTTGTTTTTGTTTTTTATATACTGGTAACACAGAGCTGTATTATTTTTTATTCCTAAAGAACCTCTAATGAGGTTTAGGGATGGAGGAGAAAAAAAACATAAATTTTTCACTATTCATTATTCAAAAAATATTATTAATATAATGTTAAGAACTTCAACCAGAAGTTCGGGGATGGAGATGACCTAAGCTGGTCTATACAATATAGACCTCTTCCCCTAACAAAATAGTCATTAGCCCATTAAAATGGCCAATCCATAAACTGAAATATTTACTATTGATGTTTTTTTAGCTTTATTGATTTTCCAGGGATCAATCCCAGACGAGGGAACCCTAGGAGAGCCGCCGACTCCAACTACCGTCCATGTACGATCCATACTAGATCTGACCAACTGACCATCCTACCTCCTCTACGTTCTTGACAGCCCATCTTTGTCTCAGTAGAGTCTTTCAGTGGCATGTTTCGGTCCTTTTCCCCATTACTTAGAAAAAGTGAGCCACCGGTTCAGGTACAAGATACTATCATTACCGCCTGGACAATTAGACACCCAGATTAGTATTAGTTAGTGATCTTGGCGCAGTGAGTCCTTTCTTCCGTGAGTTGGCACCAGTCCTACATTTTGTTTCTGTGGACCGAGAAGAAAGGAGGCTCAGCGGGAAGAGGATTGTACCATAGAAGCAAGGAGGTCAACCTCTTTCCAATATATAACATGAATTCTGGCAATGCAATGTAGTTGGGCTTTCATGTTGATCTGAATGAATCATCTTTTTCGCGGAGTGAAATCTTTGTCTGCTAGGCAAGATTATAGGATAGCAAGTTACAAATTCTGTTTCGGTAGGACATGTATTTCTATTACTATGAAATTCATAAATGAAATAATTAATCGTGGGGTTACCATTCCCTCTTTTTTTTTTCGTTATCTCGCACGTGTTCCTAAGAAAAGGGAATTTGTCAATTTTTCGGGGTCTTAAAGGGGCGTGGAAACACATAAGAACTCTTGAATGGAAATGGAAAAGAGATGTAACTCCAGTTCCTTTGGAAATAGGAAGATCTTTGGCGCAAGAATAAAGGATTAATCCGTATCATCTTAACTTGGTATCTTAAAAGTACAAATTCACTGTAATTTAGCACAATTACATTAAGATCAAATTGATGGAGATCATAATAAAATAAATACATGTTTTGTAATTTTGAAATTTTCTACAATAGTACAATTCATCAAATTTCTTAAATTGTTGTCACAAACAAATGGGGCATACTATACAGCTCTTAATGTACTTAAAGTTATAGAAAAGACACCACGTACAAACTTTTGATATAACCCACAAATTTCCCTGCAACAAAAACTATCACATAGAAAAGTCTAAACCCAAAGTCGACGTCATGGAAATCGAACTTGTGTTCATACCTTCGCCTGGCATCGGACATATCCGATCAACAACGGCGATAGCAAACCTTCTTGTAGAAAACGACGACCGCCTCTCCGTCACCCTCATCGTCATCCCTTCACAATTCTCCGGCGACGCTTCTTCCTCTTACCCAAAATCCGAAGGCCGTCTCCGCTACTGCCTCCTCCCTGCCGGAGATCAATCAACCGAACAAAACCATGTTTCTTACATCGAAAGCCAAAAGCCACACGTGAGAGCCGCCGTGTCCGAACTCTCTCGCGAGGCTTGGACACATACCAACTCGCCACGTCTCGCTGGGATCGTCGTGGACATGTTCTGCACGTCAATGATAGAGATCGCCGACGAGTTTAACCTCCCGGCTTATACCTTCTACACATCGAACGCTACTTATCTCGGGTTGCAGTTTCACGTACAGTCTCTCCACGACGAGAAGAAACTCAACGTAAGCGAGTTAAAGGACTCCGATGCCGAACTTGACGTCCCCACTCTTACTCGGCCTTTTCCGGCGAGCTGCTTACCTTCCGTGATGCTGAGCAAAGATTGGCTTCCTTACGTTGTAGCTCGAGCTAGGAGTTTAAGAGGAACAAAGGGTATTTTGGTAAATTCGGTGGCGGAGATGGAACCTAAGGCGTTGAAGTTTTTCTCCGGCGAGAATAGCACTCCTCCGGTGTACGCGGTGGGACCGATTCTTGACCTCAAAACTTGTGGAAACGATTCTAACGATGAGAAACGAGCCGAGATCTTGCGCTGGCTAGACCAGCAACCACCAAGATCCGTGGTGTTTCTCTGCTTCGGGAGCATGGGAGGGTTCAATGAGAAACAAACGAGAGAAATTGCCGTGGCGCTAGAGCGGAGTGGCCACCGGTTTCTCTGGTCGCTCCGTCGCGCTTCTCCGATGGAAAACATGAAGATATCTCCTCCAGAGGATTTCTTGAACTTGGAGGAGATTCTTCCAAAAGGGTTTCTTGATCGGACGGCTGAGATCGGAAAGATCATTAGCTGGGCTCCACAGGTCGCTGTGTTGGAGAGTCCTGCGGTTGGAGGGTTCGTGACGCACTGTGGATGGAACTCGATCCTCGAGAGCCTATGGTTCGGTGTTCCAACGGCTGCGTGGCCGATTTACGCGGAGCAGCAGTTTAACGCGTTTCAAATGGTGGAGGAGCTTGGTTTGGCGGCGGAGATACGTAAGGATTACCGGAGAGATTTTTTGGCGGGGGAGTCGGAGATTGTGACGGCTAAGGAGATAGAGAGTGGGATCAACTGCGTGATGGAGCAGGATAGTGATTTGCGGAAGAGGGTGAAGGAGATGAGTGATAAACTCCACGTGGCCTTGATGGACGGTGGATCTTCGAAGGCTGCTATGCAGAAGTTTGTCCAAGACGTGGTCGAAAATGTTCCATAGGAATTTGTCCATATATTGCATAATAAGTTATAATATGATTAATAAGTTAAGAAGAGAATTCAGTAGTGTCTATCTAAATTTGTTGCATAATAAGTTATAATATGATGAAAAAGTTAAGAAGAGAATTCGGCAGTGTCTATCTAAATTTGTTAACCTCTCTCTGTATTGTGATCCGATAACGCAAGAAAAGGAGTTTACATCTCGTTCGGTCTAATGAAAAGATCCCATAAATATCTAACAGTGATTATTGAGAGAGAACTTCGATCTTTTATGTTAACGACTTTTCGTCCAGTTTTTTTTTTTTTTTTCTTTTTTTTTTTTTTTTTTTTGGATCATGGATCCAGTTGGAGAGTATGAATTAGTCGTGGAAGTGAGAGGGATTCTGTTTACAACCTAAAAAAAAGATATGATCATTCAATGCATACCAAATCTTGAACACACCTTTTTTTTTGGGGACGAAACCCATCATTAAAGTTAAATGTCTATAAGACATTCTTACAAAGAAATGAAATTCTTTTTTTTAGTCAACCTGAAAATTATATGGTGTCTTCTTACCAAAAAAGAGCTTATAGTAAACAGTTTATAAATTTAAGACTACGGACTATGGTTGCTTCCTTCAACGACCAAAAAAAAGAATGACGTAAAATTAAGTGAGAAATTTTTTTAAAGTTTAGGAAAACTGTGAAATTATATTTTTTTCACATCAACAACGATAAAACGAGAGAGACCGTCATCCAACAAAAACAAAATTGATAAGCGGGAGAGTAGTGTACGTTTCTTGGACAGATTAGTATGTGGACACAAAGGTCTACTATATACATCCTGTATTGACATCCCATTCTTGATATCCATAGAAACAAAAAACAAAAATGCAAAACAAAATAAGAAAATATCAAATATGTATTCGATCTTATTAATAATGCAGTTACCAACTGCAAATTCTTCGAGAAGTATTTTTTTTTTTTTTGGTTGTGCAACCCTTCCAGAAGTACATCTAATTTATGTCGACAGAAGCAAAAGCTAACCAGTATTGTCCATCCTCGTAGAGTCGTAGACTGATTTGGCCAAGTAATTGAGCCCAATATAAAAGAACATAGAAGATAAAGATTCTATGGTCTGTCACAAAAGTCAAAAGAACAGATATCCCAGACGTAACGTGTCATGTATGCATAAGCATAAGTAGTAAGACTTTGGCTTATAGTTTAACGGCTTCAATAGTAACGCCACTTACCATTTTCTTTCTTAGGAAATTTCAATTAACCAAAGAAAAATTAACTGTGAGAAAAATGAAACTGGAGCTGGTCTTTATACCATCACCTGGTGACGGCCACATCCGGCCACTAGTGGAGGTTGCTAAGCTTCTTGTCGACCGTGACGACCATGTCTCCGTCACCATCATCATCATCCCTCAAATGCATGCATTCAGCAGCGGAAACACTTCCTCCTACATCGCTTCTCTCTCCACCGCATCTCAAGACCGCCTCCGCTACAACGTCCTCTCCGGCGCCGACGAACCTAACTCCGGAGACAACAAACACAATTTGCTCACTTACATCGATAGCTTCAAGCCACAGGTGAAAGCCACCGTGGAGAAACTCGCTGGCCCGTCGCGGCTTGCTGGACTCGTTGTGGACATGTTCTGCACGGCGATGATCGACGTAGCTAACGAGTTCGGCGTTCCGAGTTACCTGTTTTACACCTCCAACGCAACGTTTCTTGGACTGCAGATTCACGTTCAGTACCTTAACGACGTTAAGAAATTTGACGTCACCGATCTCAAGGACTCGGAGGTTACCGAGTTGGAGGTTCCGAGTTTGACTCGTCCTTTTCCGGTCAAGTGTTTCCCTTCGGTGATGCTAAACAAGGAGTGGTTACCGATTCTGATTAAGCAAGTGAGAAGATTCCGAGAGACTAAGGGTATTTTGGTAAATACGTTTGCTGAGCTTGAGCCTCAAGCTATGAAGTTTTTCTCCGGCGGAGATAATCCTCTTCCTACGGTGTATCCAGTGGGACCCATTCTGAACCTCAAAATCAACGGTTCAGATTCGACCTACGATGAACAGTCGGAGATACTACGGTGGTTGGACGAGCAGCCTCGTGAATCCGTTGTGTTCCTCTGTTTCGGGAGCATGGGAGGTTTCCGTGAGGAACAAGCAAAGGAAATCGCAACCGCTCTTGAGCGGAGTGGCCACCGGTTCGTTTGGTCTCTTCGCCGTGCTCAGCCGAAAGGAACGATGGGACCTCCCGGAGAATTCACAAACTTCGAAGAGATCCTCCCGGAGGGATTCTTGGACCGGACGGCTAAGGTCGGGAAGGTCATCGGTTGGGCCCCGCAAAGAGCCGTTTTGTCGAACCCTGCGGTCGGAGGATTCGTGTCGCACTGTGGATGGAACTCGACGTTGGAGAGTCTCTGGTTCGGTGTTCCGTTAGCCACGTGGCCGCTTTACGCGGAGCAACAAGTTAACGCGTTCGAGTTGGTGGAGGAGCTAGGGCTAGCGGTGGAGATCAGGAACTTTTTCCGGTCAGATTTCATGGCGGTGGAGTCGGAGTTAATGACGGCGGAGGAAATCGAGAGAGGGATCCGGAGTCTGATGGAGAAGGATAGTGGTGTTAGGGATAGAGTGAAGGAGATGAGTGAGAAGAGCCATGTGGCGTTAATGGACGGTGGATCTTCTCATGTTAATCTTCTAAAGTTCATTGAAGACGTCATTAAGAATATCTCTTGAAATGTTCATAAATCTATGAGGAATCTTCCATGATTCCCATATGGTTATTAATTAATATACCCGTTTCGTTAATTAAAATATCAATTCAACAATCTTTTTAAGATGTTATATTATACATGTTGAACATGTTCACTGGTTTAGTGGTTTACATACATAGAATTCGAATAAATGCATGAACCAAGTGGGTTTATTTTAATGTTTAGGTAATTACATGTCTTATTTTGCTACCCAAATGGGCCAACCCTACACCAAACCTGGTCCCCGTTAACCAAGACCGGCCATGATCCTTAGATGAGAAAGGTTAAGCCAAATATGATGAAGACAAGATAAGAGCAGAGTACTAGAAAGATGTTTGAAATTTGTATTATAGTGGAAAGAAGGTTGCTACTATAGTACTATCTTAGGTGGTTACCATTTTTTCAGCATTTTTTAAAAATCATTAATTAATGTACCACAAAAGTTTAGTTTGGAGCATTTGAAGCTTTAGAGTCGCTTAACCATTAACTTGGCTGTTTAGAAAGAACAAAAAAAAAACAGTAATTTGTAATAATATTATAGTCGAGTCTTTCTAACCAAGACCGGCAATGAGCTATAGGCGGAAAAGGTTGGGCCTGAAGCCATGTATGGTGAAGAAAAAGATTACTACAAAGTTGTTAGAAGCTTGTATTATTGTAGAAAAGGTGCTACTATTTAGGTCGCTCTACCACCAACGTTATTGTCTGGGATAAAAATATGCTTCAGAAATTGATTTGTGATCAAATAATAGTTGAGACTTTCATATTTGAACATATATGCATACTAACATCTATAGTATCTTTTGGTGGGTTCAAATCAACTAGGTTCTTTCGTTTTTGTAAAAAGGACACAATTTAGAAAATATAATGATCCAGCGACATAGTAGGGCTACCAAAAATAATAATTTACTACTGTCCATATTAAAATTTAATTTGAGGCCATTGCTGAATATCTATTTTCTCTCTTATTAAGATAAGAATAAATATTCTCAATCCTCTATTATGTAGACTTTACGTAGACCAAATTCATATATACCGCTTTGGCGCTTTTTCTTCACTCATTAGCATTTTATTATTTCAAAATATGGCGTTTTTCAAAATATTATTTAGTTAATTGTTTTCATATGTACTATTCTACTTACAAGTTACTATACCCACAATTGGTAGCTGTACTGGTTGAACATGCATAGAAAATTGCAAGTCTAAGGGTTCGAGCCACAACAATATTTAACATGATTACCAGCTTGGGGTTACAAATTATAACAAAAGGTTAGCAGCTATCAAAAATTCATAAACATAAAATTCGAGGAATAGAACCAGTGATAAGTAAAAGGAGAAAATCCGTATACACTAAAAACATAAGAAAAAAAAAAAGCTAAGTATTCTACATGCTAGTGGGATATTCCTTGGGACGCATGCTTGGAACGGCCTCTAAAGTTTGTGTATTCTGCCTTGAGCCTATTAAACACAGCGCTATCTCTGCTTCATATGTAAATACTTGGAGGAGATATGGAAAAGACTTACTCAAAACCTTCTGGCTTAACTTTTGTTACATAAAAAAAGAGGTTTTTGCTAAAAATAACCTAAAACTTGACTTTGAATACAAAAAATAGACTCCTGAAAAAACATTTAGCAGAAATAATCTAAAGGGTGTGACATCCCGATCCGCCTTCCCTTTAGGAACCAGGCGCGGACCGGCGATATCAATCCTAACTCCCCCCAACCGCCCCTCCCAGTGAGCCCAACGCCCTCTTTAGGCATGTGGGCCCAACGTCATCTCTCTAGGCCCGTTGACCCAACGCCCTCTCTAGGCCCGTTGGCCCACCACTGTCCGACGGTCGGGAGTCGTTAGTCCGGAAGGCTCGTAAGACTTGTCTACTGTCCCTGCAATCACCACATGATCTTTCCCCGTGCTTTGTCCTCACTCGCACGGTACCGCAGAGTACTTCCCGGTAGGTCACCCAACCTAAGACTACTCCAGCATCAGCACGCTTAACTTTGGAATTCTCTCAACACACTTGACCGGAAAAGATAAGTGCACTTTGTTGACATAGGTAGCCAAATCAATTCTTATAAGTCTTTCCATATACCGGAAATCGGGATGTTACAAAGGGGTAGTGAAAAAACCATTGAATCTTGTATGAGTAAACAAAAAACGGATGTCCTAATTACCGTTTACACCCTGATGAAATCTACTAAAGAGAGAAAGAAGTCTAATAGTAGACTTCGTTTATCGAAATGAAGTCTACTAAGTAATTAAATCTGGAAATTTAATTTTAAAATTTAGAAAAAATTATTTTGGTATCAAAATTACATTCATAAATTCAGTAATTGTAACCCAAATGTACATAAATTATTTTTTCATATTGATAAATGAAAATTTATGTTTTTAAATTAAGTAGAAAAAAAATTATTATTTAGGTTTTGAAAGTTGTAAACTTCAATATTGAAGTCTGCTAAACCAAATAAATTATCTTAATCAAAATTTAAACCGAAATTGAACCAAAAAATCTTCATCTTAACCGGAAATTTTATCCTACTATATAAACAAATGAACCATAATAAAACCCTAATTTTATCTAAAAGAGACATTCTTTAAAACGGCGCTTTCTCCAGCTTCCGTCGTCTCTCTCACCATTTCTTTTTGCGTTTCATTCTCTTTGTGAAGCTGTGTAGAAGTTTGCTCCTGTGGCTGCTCTTATACTGTTTATCTGTTTTCCGGTAGCTTTCTCCGGCCATGATTACGGCCAAGCCCTTTCCAAGAGTCTTTTCTTTTTCGAAGCTCATAGATATGGTATCCTCCCTCGCAACCGTTAGCTTCTACTCTTCCTTTGTCTCTTGAATTCGTTTATACCAAATCCGCCATTGTTGTTGCTTCGAAGCTATTACCCTACAACAACGTACTCTCTCTGTCTCTCTCTCTCTCTCTTTTTTTTATCGCAATTTCTTTGGATTTTTACTGAGTTTTTGTTGATTTTTAGTGTGGAATCGTGAAATTGCGATGGAGAAAAGCTCGCCGGTGAGGAAACAACACACTTCGACGGCGGATCTACGCACCGGTTCTGGTTTCTAGTGAGGAGAAAGTGCTTCCTGATTACATCCTCATATTTTTTTGTTCTTGATTCTTTGTAGCATCTTTGTAAAATCCATTGTTGAATTTTTTTCTATTTTGTTGGTTTGAGCTTGTTTTACCTTTTTATTGTCAACTTTTTAATGATTGGTTCCTAAAATTGGGGTTTTTGAAATCGAGAAGTGGTTCTCTGGTTCGGTTTTGGTGTGATGGCTGGATAACAAGTGTCTCTTTGCGTTTCGTTGATTGTGTGTTACAGCTTTTGGAGCTCATATTGTTTGTGGTGTCTGTAACAGCTTTTGAATTTTCAATTTTTTCGTTGATTGTCTGTAACAGCTTATGAAGCTTGTGAAACAATGTACAGCCTAAGATTTGATGTTGTTGATCCAAATATTCTCCGATAGATTTCATTTGTGATGATGTTATATCAACTATTTGTTGTGTTAGTCCAATCCCAAAGAGATCTGTTTGTTTTGTTAGTTCTCTTGAACGTCTTGATGCTAAAAATTGTAGATTTGTGGTTCTTGTCACAGGTGACGCGCTGAATACTTTGAGGGTCACTCTAGTTGATTCGAACAATGTCTTGCAGAGCTGGGATCCTACGCTTGTGAATCCTTGCACATGGTTCCACGTCACTTGCAACAACGAGAACAGCCTCCCTTATTCCCTTTCTCCCTCTTATTCCCTTTCTCCCTTAGTTTTTTGGATTTGGTGCTGATGCCTACGCCACAGCTTCTGCTGGATTGTTAATTATAAGTTTGTATGTGTATTTATTAAATGTGATGCTATTTTATGCAGAATGCCTTGTTAATATAATCAAGTTATTCTATATAGACACAAACGTCATATAGTTGAGAGTGATAATGCAAAGAAAAGTTCCACAAACTAAGTCATTAAGCAGAATCTTTATAATGCAAAGAAAACTATTTTATACAGAATGTATTATTTCAATGTCACAAAAAAATTTATGTTGCACCAATTTTAAAATCACAAAATATGTCAAATCCAAAGAAAGAAAAAAAAAACAGAAGAATGATGTTGGTATTACTAGCAAGACAACTTATAAATGTCTAATTCTACAATTTTTTAGAATTTATGAAGATTTATTTTTATGGAGTTGATCATTTTTATGGAAATTTTTGTAAGTCTAATAACACAAGAAAAATTGAAGCATAAGTATAATACAAACATATTTAATTGGTAGTTTTGTAAGAAAACATAAAAAATGACATTAGCAAACATAATTACAAAACACATTATAGCAAATACATAAATATCAATTTTTTTACACAGAAGACTTCATTCGAAGACTTCGTAGATTGCAAATGAAGTCTATTTTCACAAGCTAACTAGCTTATAAATAAAAAAATTCGATTCCATAATAAATATCGATTTAAATCAAATGAAAGCCATTGAGTAATTCAATCAATTGCTAACACGCATGTCAAATCCTAAAAATTATAAAAAAACGTTATAAATATTTAAGATATGCGTTTTTAAAATAAATACAAAAAATAGACTTCCTAATTAGACTTCCTTAGTAGACTTCCGGAAAAGTCTACTGAAGTCTACTTTGATAAGCTAAGTAGCTTAAAAATCAAAACTTCTGATTCAACAATAAATATCGAATGAAATGAAATGAAATTCACTGTGTAGTTCATTCACTTACTAAAAAGCATTTCTAATCCAAAAAAAAAAAAAAAATTACTTTACAAATTTGCCTAAAACGCGTTTTAAAAAAACTGCAATAAGTAGACTTTTACAGCAGACTTCAAACGTAGACTAGAGGAGAAGTCTACTTTTCATAGTGAAGTCTACTAAAGAAGTCTACTAAAAAACAGATTATTTTTGCAATTGACCAATCCGTTGACTTTTTCTTCAGTAGACTTCAGAAGTAGACTTCCGTCCAAAAATGTTACTTTAGCATTTGACTGATGCATTGACTAACAAAGTAGACTTCTATTGTAGACTTCATGTAAGAGTAAACTTCTCTGACAGTTTACTTTTGAACTCTACTTT